CTCTCTCTCTCTCTCTCTCTCTCTCTGCCCCTCCCCCCTCAAAAAGAAATAAACATTAAAAAAATAATCATTGTAGCAGAAGAATGGAGCTTACCAGAGGCTAAGGGGGTGAGAGGAATGGGGAGATACTGATCAAGGGATACAAGTTTTCAATTATGGTGAATAAGTTGTGGAGACCTACTGTACAGGTGTCTATAGTTAATAATAATGTGCCCTATACTTGAAACTTTCGAAGAGTAGATCTCAAGTGTTTTCATCACATATGTATAAAAAAGGTAAGTATGGTGGACACGCTAATTTGCTTAATTGTACTCATTTCACAATGTATACAATGTGTCATGACATTACATTGCACACCTTAAATATATACTGTTTTTATTTATCAAAACTAAAAAAATTAATCAGTTATGAAAGGAAGACAAAAATGGCTTTGCTCAGTTGTATGCCAGCGCCTCACGCCCTGGCAGGCATGGTTAAATTTTGATGGATAGCTGTTGGATGGATGAGGAGTCCTCAGTGATTACAGTAAAAATCAAGGAAGCAGACCCACAGGTCTGAGCATCGTATTCATCGTCTCCGATTGCCTGAGATCAAGTTGTGGAGCTAAGAGAATGCAGAGTCTTTATATTGCTGGATTAAATCTACCTACCTACTACTGATATTATTCCTACCAGCTTTACGGTTAACGTTATTATTACACAAGTACAAATGCACAGCTGAAAAAGTAGAAAATACCGATAAGCACAAAGAAAAGTCTCTAAAAATAAGTATTTCTTGGGTGCTCTGGCCAGAAATAAAAAAAAAAAGGGCCTAATCCTCTCTCTTCCACCTACCCTCTGGCCCAGGTTTCCCTGTAACCTGACGATCAGGCTTAGTTCCCTCCCTATCCCGAGGGTTGTGGTCAAGCATCCCCGCCCATTCCCCCGCCCTTCGCATCACCTTGGTGCGCACGCTCCGCCCACCGCAGCACGAACCGGAAGCGCGCGAAGCAGCCGGCTCCTGCACTGGGCATGCGCGGAATCAGACCGCCCGTCCAGCGCGCGCAGGCGCAGAAGCCGGAGAAGGTGCCGGGTCGAGTCGCTCCTTCCGGTATTCATCCACCTTCTCTCCGGACTCTGGTCGCGGCCGCCCGTGACCGCCTCTCCAACCCCAGTGGGCGGGTGGCAGGTGAGACTCAGGGCCCGGGCTGTGGGGAGGGAGTCGGGTCGTCCCTAACCCCAGCCCCGCCGGTCCTGACCTCAGCCCCTCGCTGGCTTGTCCCCTGGCCGGTCCTCCCGCAGGTGGGGGGGGGGTGTCTCTTCTGTGTCTCCCCGTTGGGGAGCTCCTCTCCGGGGGCTCCTCCTAAGGGACTCTTGGGAGGGGGGGTGTGCTCCCCGAGGTCTCCTCCTTGGAGGTCTCCTGCAGGTCCCAGCTGTGGCACTCAGCAGCTCGGCCCTGAGCAAGCCCCTTAATCTGTCTTCTTGTGGGTCGGCTCTTCTGTGCACGGACATGACCTGCCTACCCAAACTCGGTATCGTGCGGGTAAAATGCGGCGGTTTGTGCGAAAGCACAGACGCCAGGGTGAATGTTGCCTATTATTACACATCCTGATCCCTCCCAAAGCAGCCTTCGGGACGGGACCGACCGATAGTGTTGTACACCGTGAAGACTGACAGCCTTTGTTGTAAAAGAAACACAAGGCCCAAAGATAGCTTCTAAAACGTGTCGGTTTTTCTCAAGCTTGGACACAAAAGTTTAACCCCAGTGACACTTGGACCTACGGTTTCTACCTGTTTATGGTGGTTGGAAGATAAGGTGTCCTATCCAGATGCTTTACTCCTGGCTTCTTTTCGTGAATTCAGGACATGGTACCCCGTGACAGACCAGGCGCCCGGCCCACTGTGGTGGGGTGGGAGAGGCAGAGGAGAGTGCAAATAGCGGTGACGCGTCTCACCCCGTCCTCACGTTCTGTGGTTGCTAACAGGATCTTCACCAGTCCAAGAGCCCGTGTTACCGCTGTGCTTCATCATTAAAATCACAGTTACCGTGCTTGTGTATACGTAGCTCCTTACGGTGTAAAAGTGCCTGTGCACCAGTCACTGGTTATTCCTCGTTACCCCAGTGTGCAGTCTAAGAAACCAGGACTAAGACGAAGTTACTCCTCAAAGGTCACTTAGCAGGGAAGCTGGGACTCCAGCGGTTCTTAACAGCTTGCGTCCAGTGCTCTTCCTGACTCCCCCTGCTGCTCTGGATCATGATCTGTCCCAGCAACCTCGCAGGGAGAGCAAAGGCGGAAAACCTGTGTTGAAATCCTGCAGCACCAAATATTGTCAGTGTGACTTTGGCCAGATCACTTGGTTTTCTCTGCTGCGTAATGGACATAATAGTCCTTTATAAGTTGGTCCTGAGGATTAAATAGGACAAGACATGTCAGGGCATGTCATGTGGGTGGCTCAGTCAGGTAAGCGTCCGACTCTTGATTTCCACTCAGGTCATGATCCCGGGGTTGTGGGGTCGAGCCCTGAGTTGGGCTCTGAGCCGAATGTGGAACCTGCTTGGGATTCTCTGTCTCTCCCTCTTTCTGCCCCTCCCCTGCTTGCTCTCTTTCTCAAAATAAATAAACATTTCAAGAAATAAGATAATAAATGTAAGATGTTTCATCTATTGTGGGTGTTCTTTACATGGGGGTTTTTGTAAGTCTATGCTAATTAGATTTCCACTATATGACATATATTTTCACGGAAATAGGGTTTACACTATTGCAATCTGGTACAAGACTTATAATTCCAACATCATGTCCACAAAGGGGACCTGCCCTGTTGTAGTTTTAGTTGTTCTTAATGAAACTTTTCAGTTCTCAAATAATCACTTGGAGTTAGTACTTAAAAAAAAAAAAAATCTTAAGGCATTAATTAAGGGCCTGGTGCAAAGCACTCACCTGAACAAAAAGTCTACTTCAGTTGCTACCATGTGGATGCTCACATAAGCTGAAATGTCTATGGTTTAATAAAAATTATTGAGTCAATAATAGGAGT